AGGTCAGTAGCATTATCGCCATTTTACAGCTGGGGAACAGCTCTGCCCTCCCACACAGGGAGGCATGAGGCTAGCATATCAAGGAGTGTCAGGGAACAGCGGTGAGGCCTTCTCACGGGGGCTGCTATTAAGATCACAGTGCTCCAGTGGAATCCAAGACAGAGGAGCTCTGAGCAGACGGATCTGGAGTCTCCAAAGCCACAGTTTGGCCAATACTGATGCACATGCTCGAAGTACCTTTGCAGGAGGGGGCCCAAAAAATGCTCTCTCAGAATTGAGGGTGAAGCAGGGGTGAAAGTAACTTAAAATTTCTTATAGGTACTGTCATACTGGGGACTTGCGGCAGGGGCTGGTGATGGGACAGTACTTGTAAGAAATGTAAGTGTGGGATGGAGTGCAGGGGGCTCAGGGCAGGAGTGTTGGGAGCTGGATTAGAGTTGGGGGGCCCAGGATGGGGGGAGCTCAGGGCTGGGAATGTGTCCACTGCGCTGCCTGGCCGGGGTGGCAGGGACTGCGCTGCTGGGCTGCCCGAGCTCTGGGGCTGGAGGTTGGGTGCACTGTGGTCGTGCCACCCAGGGGCTATGAGCGCTTGGTCAAGCTCACTGGGGTTAGGCTCTCACTGCCCCTCCCTGCTCCTCACTGTCTGGGGTTGGGGCCAAGGGCTACAAGGGGGAATAGTTTGGGCTTCTGCGGGGGAAGGGGCCAATAGGCTGCACATGCCGAGCACCAGGTCTTACCCAAATAGGGCGGACAGCAACATCCATAGCCCTGCCCCCAGCCAGCCCCTTTCTTGCCAGCACCTCACAGTGGGGCACCCCTGCTTACTTTCACCTATGGGAGCAAGCCACATTCTATGTTCTCTTTCCCATATCTCAGAGCTGCTCTTGTCACTCCTGTTTCAGGATGGCTCAGAAGGGTGAGGCATGTAGGAGGGATTCAAGAAGAAGGATACACGCTAACTGAGCAAAAAATCACAGCACCATCAAACTGGGCAGAGGCTTAATCACAAGGGCTTGGGTTTCATTTACACTCAGTCCCCACTCTGGCTGGAACCCCTGAGAGTAGCCACTGTGAAGAGGGGCTTCCTTGGCTGACGCAGAGATGGCAAAAGGACTCTGTACCAGCCGTGTTCCTGGCGCGGCAAAGGGTGGATTGGGGGTGTGGCAGGTGTAAACTTCACTATGACCCCTTCCCCAATGGCTTAAATGAGAATCAGGCCCTCAAACCACACCATCTTCCTCCGGTAGCCCTCATGTTTGCCATCTCCTCCCGTTCAAGCCAGTCTAAAGCAGCCATGGGCAACCGAGGCCAGTGAGTGGCTGCACAGGTGGCCTTCCTACATCCCACAGGGCTGCAAGATTGTCATGACTGGGCAGTTTGCTCACAGTGCTGGAATACCTAGAATGTGCGGGGTGTGCCGGTTGAACCATAGCGGGGCTGTGATTGGCTGCAGAGGGAGCACCCGGCTCTCACAGTCAGTGCTGGGTGTAATCAGCACCCCCCTCCCTGCACGGGCCCTGGCTTTACGTGTGTGTCACTTTAGTAACACCAGGAAGAAAAAAAAATGTATATGGAAACCAGCAGAATTTGGCAACCCTTTGTGTAGACAACAGTAACACAACGTCTTGTAGGCCACATGAAGAACCCCACTGTTGCCCACCACTGGTCTGAAGTCAAAGTCAAGGACCATCCCTAATTATCCTGCCATAGCTAGCACACAGGTGGGGGCAGTAACAGTGAGCTTAGTCAATAAAGACACCAGGAGATCAGCCCCTTGGTTTGGCGTTAACTTTCCGTTTCAAATCAACCTGACAAGCTCAAGGGAAACTCAGCTCAAACTGCTACATATGGACTCTTTTGGGGAGCCGAAGCCTGCAAAGTTCCATGTGGACTTTCCCTGCCGTACCTACTCTCGTATTCACCAGTCTTGGGATGTCTGGTGTTTTTCTTACTGCCTCCATCTCAGGTTTTATTTTTAAAGTACATTTCTAGCCCTGATGGCAGCTGTGACTAGCATGGAGGGAAACGTGACCAAGTGTGCCTTACGCCTCTCCTAAGATAATCAAATTTACATATTTACAAATCTCTTGGTTTTGAAGCCAATTTCCTGGCCTGACTCATAGGTTGTGAACTCCTGCAAGAGGCAAAGCTGTGTTCATTTCACTGACACCATCTGGTCTGCCAGTTTCCCTCTGAAGCCTGACCTAGCTCACCTAACAGTTCATGAGCCCAGCAGAGCTCACCTGTCCTCAGTCATCCATTCGTACAGCACTCTCATTCACAGCGTTTGAAGAGAGAAACCTAAAAGGGTTTTGGGCAAGGAGACAAAATCAGGGACGCTTTGGATACGTCCACACTGCAAACAAACCCACCTCACAACAGCAAGTCACAGGGCCTGGGTTGGCTGCCTGGGGTTTGCGCTACCTGTCTACAAACAGCAGTGTTGTTATTCTGGCCTGAGCTTGAACCCAGGTCAGAGACCTTCCCCAGGTTTCAGAGCCTGGACTCCGGCCCCATTGGGAATGTCTACTCTGAGGTATTTTGCCTCTCAGGGCACACTCTGCACGTCCAAGTCAG